GCAGGTGAAGCGAACGTCGACCGGGTTGGCCGATGTTGACCGGTGGAGGTGGGGAGAGAACCGCTCGCGCAGGCCGGGGGATCCCAAGTTCACGTCCATCAGACGAAATCGAGTCAAGGTATCGTGCAAACTCTTCATTGGGTGTGGGGACGATGTCTCGAATTTGATATTTGGCAGTGAAGCAAATTGTGTGTTAGGTGGTGATGATAATAATTTACATTTGTAAGGCGCACTTCATCCAGGGATCTCAGTGTACCAAATGATGCTCTTCTGTGAAGTACAGTGCATGGCAGAATTGCCAGACAATGGCTTTGGATTGAGGCCTTCGTCCAGCAGTGGATTAACTATGGCTGACGATGATGATTATGATGATAATAACAATAATAATGAGCCTCTGAACTTGGCCGCTGTACCGGTCCATAACGGGACTCCGACTTGGGACCAGTGTCGTGGAGAATGTCCCGCGTGTGGTCTTAGAAGTCTGCAAGGGATTCCCCCCCCCCCCCTTTGTCGGTTTCCCCGCGGGGAAATCATCCGCGGTCCGAGGTTGGACGAGAATTTGAGATCTTTGATCTGAACTGCACTCACGAACCCACTAATCCACTATTAATATCTCCCTCTGTGTATGCGCGAGACGCTGGCGTTCTGTGACGCACGTAGGATGGTCAACAGCGTTGAGGACGACGAGGAAGCGCGCCCGCGTCCGCGTGTGATGTGGCAGACTCAATACACGGTTTCCATGCTTCCTAAATTAGCCCTAAATATAATGAAATTACGCTAAAATAGATGCATCATACGTACGAGATACATTTACCTGAAACTCCGTGCCGTATACTAACATCCACCAAACGACAAAATGTTATTTAGTGAAACGCAAAATATGTATATAAAACAACGCTTTAACGTCGGTCGTATGGTGTGAATTATTAATTGAGCAGTGTTTTATTTATTTTTATACTTGCCCAATGAGTGTGCATATTCCTGCAGCGACACTCGGATCACGCCATTGGTTCGTAGCCCGCGTGATTATTTCGAGACGTCGTCTGTGTCCAAGCCCAAGTGCGCCCTGCCTAATCTTAAATTAGATTTTTTTTTAAAGGCGTAATTATTCGGGAATGAAACACGAGCAGATTTTGAACGATCACCCAAGCCGAACTCTGCATTTCTAACGTCAAACATTTTAACGACACCGCTTCATTAGCACCGATGCAGAAGCACGCGACAAAAAACAAACCTCAATAAATGTTTCAATAACACAGCCCTACAATTTAAATGTATATATAATAGGTGACGTTTCGGGCAATGACCCATCTTCTTGATATGAGTATTACATCGAGGCAGTGCGGTTAATCTCCGGTGAAGAGCGCAAGGCTCATTGTGTCGGTCTATCTGACGAAGAGAGCGCGTACGTGGGACGCTGTGTGAATGGACTTTGCAATCAGATAAGAGGGAGATACGCGGAAGGGGAGGTGAGGGAGGGGGGGAGTGTTAGTCATGATTTCACTCAATAAGTGGTCCCGATCGCGTAACCTGACGGTTGTCGCGGTTCTTCTTGAGGGAACAAATGAAACCTGGATATGCGCGGTATGAAAATACCGGAGAGACGCGCGCGTGGACCACGAAGAATGATGAGCTACCGCGTGCGATTATATACAACTGCATATACATACAGCGCGATGTTTACTATGCTATATACGAGTCGTGATCATCAGCGGCCATGGTCTATGTACTGCTGGATGAAGGCTTCACCCATCTCTCGCGGTCATGAACAACCTCAGCTCCGACTAACGAGCTGACGTCATCGCTCCAAGGCCTAGGTGAATCATGCGAGCTAGTGTATGCAGGTATATAAATAATTAGCACATTGCATGCAAAAACAATGATCCATTAGTAACTGTTCCATTGAACATGCTACACACACACACCTATTAATGAAGCATGCTCCTAAATACAGACGTTATAGTGTAATTATTGATTTAAACCAGTCTTTCCAGCCTAATGCTGGTTTCATATTAAAAACGCAAGCCTGATATGTAATTATCATTTTTTTAAGTACATACATATTTCAGGTGGCTTCATTAACATCAAAATTAATGAGTGCACAGGTTTAGGCCAACTTCATAACCTCGTTATTACATCGTGTTGATTGCCCTAATTATATCCGTGTGCGTGTAAATGGATACTACATGTGCATTGCGTACGAGAACATCTTTACGTGAACACTGCACGCATACCCGTTTATAAAATTAATAATCACCCTGAACGTTTGTGAAATTGCTGAGGTAGTTCAGTGCGTATCCAAACACCAGCCCGAACGACGTTACGCATCGTTATGATAAACAAGGGCCAATAACTTCCCAGTGCACCTGACGGATTCATCGCAATGGAAAGGTAAATGGATACACTACATAATTGAAATCAACAGAGACAGAATTGGTAAACAACAACAAAAAGTACGTTCCCAAAAGCGCGGACGACTTCAAAACGCGCGTGCGGAGGTGATTATTTATTTTATATTCTACGTCTCCGCCGCCATTTTAAGGCCTACGGAGTGGCCTGCTCAAAGGCACGCACCTGGGCATGGAGAATATGGGCTTTAAAAAAAGAACCCCAATCCGCGTAAATCTACATGAAAAGAATATAAATTGCCACACGTATAGAGCGAGTGCGTCGCAGCCGCACGCATAGTCGACGTGGCTCCAGCCTCGGTGCGTTGCTTGCAAAGTACCGCTTTGTTGCAGCACCACGTGCTCACTTAGTGAACGGGCCTCGTATTGGGGTGTTTTTTTCTCCTTTCATAATTCATCCTTTCCGCTGTGGTGTTGCAATGCTTCTGTTGTTGCAATCAATGAGCGGGGGGCTTTGACGGCATACGATTGATAAAGCATACGATGAATACAGGCCTGTAACGGGTTTAGTCAAGGCCTATTGGGTCTTTTAAGTATTGTGTATATGATTGCAAAGAATGATGCCACCCCGAGCCTGAATAACCACGTACATATTAATACGGTAAAATTGGCAACAATTTGGGTCTGCGTTTGTATCTTGCTAATATCTAAAACTATTCAACTACATCCTATTGCAAATTCTATGTGCCAGTGCACGTGGATGGTGTGTATTTGCTCGCAAACAGCACTTGCCCCAAAAGTCTAAGGCTATACGGGGAATATTTGTCTTTTGGAGCGGTAATGTAGTGTGGGGAGAGGATAGTGCGCTGCGCTATGAACCCGGCCATATGAGTTCGACTCCCGCTCAGTCAATACCGGTGACGATTATCTGAACTGGACCTGGGCCTCGCCTAGGTCGACTCAGTGTCAAATTAGTACCTCGTGCTGTGTGGGGTAAACATCAGCACTGGAGAGACAAAGGCGGCCGAGCGTGGTTGTTGGCCACCCACCCTCATGTACCCTGCACTTGCCCCAAAAGTGCGTTAAGGCTATACGGGGGATATTTGTCATTAGTATGCTTGGGTAGACGCTTTTAATACATACGAACATCCTGATATTTAAATATCGCATACAATGGGTATAAATGGACCACAAGCAATCGCAATGTTATTAGATATCCACACGCCCGTCTCATTGAACTTTGTTTTTATTTATACGTATTGTAACTGGTTAAAATCCGGATTATAAGACGCACTTTTTACCGATATTTTAAATCAAAACTTGGGGTGCGTCTAATAGTCAGGTTGCCGTGTGTGTGTACATATGACCAGATTTGGATAACTTTATTGCCATGCAGCATATGCTTCGGGGCGCGAGTTATATTCCCATGCGTCTTTAATCCGGCTAACGCGGTGGCGTGTGGAGGTAGCATAGTTCAGGATGGGTGGAGCGGTTGTGCAGTGAGTGGTTAGTGTACACCACGACGCTCCGAGCCTGGCTACCTGGACCTGAGCTCGACACTTAGTCAAGGCTAACATCGGTGGCGAGTGCCATCTGAACGGGTATTACCTCTCCCTCTCAATCTTCTGAAACAACCCTGCACTGACCAGTGTGGTGAAGTATGGTCAAACAACCCCCACACGACTGACACGACGCTGGAAAATCATCATCTAGCAGTGGATTGATAAAGGACTGAACATTATATTTTGAAAATCATTATCGTACTTTACAAAAAAATAATCGTGAAATATAATGAAAATACAGACGTGCTGTCATAACCACCTAATCGTTATGAAAAGCACCCGCCCTGACAAATGAACCACTGTATATAAATACAGCAATTCCAATGGCCCCAGATGCACTTAAGCTTTTCCAATGCCGTGCAAGCACTCAAGATTCCAAACAGCGGGTCTCGCAGCACACGCGCACGAAGGAATCCAAAGAACACGATATGATTGATCATTTACAGCCTTTTTGGTCAAACGCTCTGGTGGAAGGCATCAACGGCGCAGTGCCGTTTACGAAGGTCGTTTGTCCATACTTCACGGTGGGTGAAGAGGGGGGAGCCCAGTACCGGATTTGAGATATCGCTCGCTCCTGATGTTACAGCCACGGCCTGGAATTGAACTGAGGTGGCCCGGCATTATTTAATTATATGCGACACCCGTGCGTGCACGCACGCACGCACACTCGACAAAGATCCCCCGTACAGCCTTAACAGACTGCTGGGGCAAGTGCTTATTTGCGAGTAGCAAACCTATGAAGGCCGGACACGAGGGGTGGGTGGCCAACACCAACACCACCACACTCGACCGCCTTTGTCTCCGCAGTGGCGATATTTACACACTGCACCAGGTGCTCATTTGAGGCCGAGTCGACCTCGTGGAGGCACGGGAATCGATCTCGGGTCGCCAGCTTCGTGTCGCAACGCGCCAGCAGCAACGCCGCCGCTCCCCGCGCGCACTGGCGTGGCGTGAAAATAACAGGCCCGGTATTCTGCCATTGAATCTGAAAGGTCGCTTAGTTGTGTGGCACGTGGCGTCTCGCATGTAATCACTCGGTACCCATGTCAGCCGTGATCGGAAATCAAACTCAAGTGATCGAGGCGACAATTCAAATGGCCTCGCTGAGCACTGCACCAACACCGACCACAAACAGGCACGGAAGGTGTGTTCACAAAAGAGACCCTCGTGAGTGACCGCGAGCTGCAATCAGAAGCAGCCTCCCCCCCGCCCACTCGTAGTCACTTTAAGGAGCGGGGGCCGAGGATATGGGAATGTTAACAATGGCCGCCATATTTGCCGTATAGAACTGCAAGTTGTGACCGCGCGCGTTGAGCTGTTTCGAAGCCTCCCTCTAAGTGCACGCGGTGCGAAATCAATCCGCACTCCCAGAGTGCCATTCAACTCGTTGCTTATTCAACAAGGTTTAAACAACAACAAAAATGTGCAGTTTCCCCAACCCCATAACCCCCCCCCCCCCCATTGGTTCAGCCAGGCCATCGTGACGCGTGGTTACTGCCTCGTAAGGCCACTCGTCACTACGGCGTCACGTGGGTGGCTGTACGTGACGAGGAGGTGGGGGCCCCGAGTCTTTAACGCGTGGCCGCAATTACGCCGACGAGAGCATGCGGCGCCTATCAACTCACCTGAACCCCATCAGCGAGGGTCTCATGACTAAACCTTAAGTGTCGTATCCTCTGTCTCTCGATATATAACACGGGAGTTACGCAGGTGTGTAATGTGACCCATACGCACACTCGTGTAAACATTGTTGGTCTGCTGTAACGCGTCTGCATGTGATGCATTTCAAGTAGACGTGGAGTGCGTGTGTGAGAGAGACACAAAGACGTACCGTATGTTCGCATGTGTGACCTCATTTATGGTCTATAGTGAAGCATGTATCGTCTACAGCTTATTTAATCGTAACAATCCTGAATGTTTTGTTGAGCAAATGATTGTACATGCGTTTACAAATCAGTCTGCGTTTAACTTTCTACTTGTTTGAAACACTGATTTACGTCTGAATTTTGTCTACAGAATGTTTAATTTAAGACATGATGGAAGGGAACAGACTCTATGCAATATATGTAAAGCATATAATTTTTAACTCATAATGCTGATCTATAACAATTATAAAATAGAGCACGTGGAATCTGGCTAACTTGGCTGTAAAACATAACGCACAGGCATTGTTGGCACGTTACACGCCTACGATACATATACGTCACCTGTAGTTTATATATATATGTGTGCTGTAATACCTGCACGGCGTGCTTTATGTAATAGTACGCGAGTAGTAAGAGCGACACTCGCGGTGCTGCTGTATAAACCCGGACGGCGAAGTATATAGGCGTGAATAATCAAGTCTCACATTACCCAGGCACGGCATAAAGTGGCTGTGTTGATGCATAGCAGGCAGACACATGTGCCTCGAGTTATTGCACACACAGTCACATGTATATGTGCCCTACATTGTTATATATATACCTAAATAAATATTTTATTTTTCACTGCGCATTCAAATAATATCAACTTTGGCAATGTCAGGCGTGTTGTTATACAATGGTATAGAGCGTACATGAATTACATACAACTTATTTTAAATGTTTTTGAAATCACATACGCCTATTATATTTCAAGTATGCGTGCTGCATATAGGACCATGTAATATTGTATAAATGTAGTTTATAGAAAATGTAGTTACAAACATTTAACGCACGATATTCCATTGTATGTCATACTGTGCAACGTGCTTAGCTTCGCTAAATATTTTTAAAGTAACATTTTATAAATAACTAATAACCATGAATTCACGTCACAATATTTTGCACAGATCTTATTTATGCAATCACACGTGATTAGCTAGTGACGTCCAACAAAAAAAAGCAAACTTTACGTATTGTAAGTGTTGCACCCTTGAGTTACATGCAACTTAATACGCTTTATAATTGGCACACAGTAATATAATTAACCACGGATCATATTTAAAATTGTAACATGCAGTTCCTATGTGAAATTAAATACGTAACATAATTAAATTGTATTACAGTAAAACAAAGCATACTTTTAGGTGTCAATTCTCTTGTGTGTACGAGTGTTGTGATAATTACTTTGAAATCCACCACAGCTAGCTATAGCTAGCTATCCATAGCCAGCTATAGATCGCAAGCTGTACGTTGTACGTGTGTACTGTGACAA